TTGATGAAAGAGCTATCTCTCTCACAGCCAGTGGATAAGCATTTTATGATACTGATGTATATCATTTCTGAGGGTTTTTATTACCTGATACTACAGTTTCATAGGCAAAACATGGAAAGAATAAATATAATAGTTTTGAACAAGTATTTGGAATAAGATAACACTGCTAGAATGAGCTGAAATCTTGATGACGTCACAATGCTACTGAAGTCAGGATGACATCATCAGTCTATAGATTGATTATAGGAAATCAAAATTGACGGCAAAAATTGCATGAAAATTTTCCGAGGGGTGGATAGCAAAAACTATACCCCGGGATATAGCTTTGCTGTGCGTGGAAATTTTCAGACTATCAAGGATAGTTATTTTACCTTCTTAACTTTATATAGGAAACATTTTAACAGATACTATACTATACTATACTATACTATACTATACTATACTATACTATACTATACTATACTATACTATACTATACCATGCCATACCCTACCATACTATATAATTCTGTTTATCGACTTTTGATTTCAAGATTTGGTGCACAAATTAACTATACTAAGGTGATATACTATTACACTTCTGTAAAAACATTTCCTATATTAAGTTAAGAGGGTAAATTAACTATTCCTCTATAGTCTGAAAATTTCATGCCTAGCAAATCTGTACCTAGGGTATAGATTGTGCTATCCACCCTTCAAAAATTCAATTTTTGCCGTCAGTTTTGATTTTCTGCGATCAATCTCTAGACTGATGATATCATCACGACTTTAGTAGCATTGTGATGTCATCAGGATTGTGATGTCATCAGGATTCAGCTCACTTTTGCAGTGTCCTTTTACAAATACTTGTGCAAAACTTTAATAATTAACATAATCCAAAAAGAAAAAGGGAAAATCAAAATTCACTTTTAATCACCCACGTTTTACAATCTGAAGTCGTTTTGGACTGAAAATCCTTATATGTGCCGCCTCAAGGTATTATTCTTTCCATATTTTACGTATGAAACTGTAGTATCAGGAAATCCAACCCTCAGAAATTATGATATATATGTACATAAGTTTTATAAAACGCTTATTTACTAGTTGTGAGTGGGATAGCTCTTTCATCAAACCCTTGACAGAAACTATTCCCCTCGTGGAAGCCTCAGGGACTACACTATACTAGACTAGGCTAGACTAGACTAGACAATACTAGACTAGACTAGACTATACTATACTATACTATACAATACTAGACTAGACTATACTATACAATACTAGACTAGACTAGACTAGACTATACAGTACTATATACTATACTATACTTTACTATACTATACTATACTCCATAGTTCTGTTTATCGACTTTTGATTTCAAGACTTGATACACAATTAAACTATACTATAACAAGGTACATCTTTCTTTATTGTGACATGATACCGGTGTTTTTTTTATTATTGTATTAGCAATACGGAATGACTACAGTGGGCAGAGCTACTTTCCATTCTGTATTAGCCCTATATACTGTCTTGTATTAGCCAACTATTCTGTATCTAAAATACAGCATGGTCTAAAAATAAATCTGATTCAATTGATCAAAAGCACGTACAAATAGTAAATGCTGATTTTTTCCTATTATAAATTTTGGAGAAATATTTCCCTAGGAATGTAAAATGTCAAATTTTCTCAATCACGTTTAAAAACTTATTCCACACAGAATCTATAAGTTATTTTGTTTCAAATGAAAAGGAAAATTCACAATTATGGAAAACATCCTGAGTTGGATAATTAAATTCCTCAAAACCTGTTTTCTTTTCCTGCTTTTTTGTGTCCCCTTCAAAATGGTAAAGCAATGGGTTCACAGTTGCACCATCCATTAATGAAATGTATTAGTGAAATTCGATACCCCCCCTCCCAATTTTCCACTCTTCTCATGCAAACTCGATCATTTCCATTTTTTAGCATTTTTATTTTCTAAAATTTCATCTTAAATCCTCATCGCGGACGACTGTCGCACATCTCTTTCACTTGGTTTTTAATATCGCATTTCAATAAAAATCAAAAATCTGTGACATCAAAGTCCATCGAAGAGCTGTCTGTATCAGCTGTATTTGTATCTAGTTAAACTGAGATTTTAAGACCCCTGAATAAATTAGGATCAATCTCCATCTACAACAAGGTTAAATTGTCCACCTTATCAATTGAGACTTGCTTCGAGTCTGTTACATCTAACCCATGTCAAAACTAATCTGAGTGAATCTTACGTTCTCCATAGAAATATATATACTGCGGATGCTGCACAGCTAAAAGTGGGATGTGCTTTTTTTGATTGATTGTGTCACAAATCATTTAGAGAACTCGACAGGTTCTGTATTGTAGCAGGGTTCGACACTCGTCAAAATTCGGTCTCGCCATTTGGGCAACCTTGGTACTGATTTCAGGTTGCCCGAATGAATTTCAGGTCGCCCGAACAAAATATCAAATGAAACAAAAATGTGCAATTGTTTAAAATTTGTTAAGATAACAGAAGTTGTGCTTTTGTATTATAAAATGTAAACCAGACATTTATGGAATGTCAAAAGCTGTCTTCCAGTATTTTATCAAACAAAGAAAACAAGCAACAAATATTGATAAGCAGAATCAGAATGCTAATTAGGCTTTAAAAAATTATGACTGTTTCCTGTAATATTCTCAATAAATCAAGCGTTGGTAGGTCTGGGTTGTTTTTTTTTTTTTTTGTTTATGTATAATCTCACCTCAATATTGACACAAAATAAAGTTTCTAGTTTAAAACATTCATTTTCACTTACCATAAAGGCCTTTAAAAAATAGGGTCAAACATCCCTGGACTGAATTAACCAGGTGTGATGTTTACAGTGGACACCCAACATGGCTGTCTAGCAGCAGAAAACGAACATCAGAAAGTTTTGGGGGGAAATGCTAGATGTTACAATAATGATCATTACTCTTTATATTTATGGTGATTGTTGACTAGGTTGACATATTTTATATCTCAAATAAAACTTGATTTAATACTTTTGGTAAAAATTATATCAGCTGATTGATCAAAGACAGATTTGGCAGAAAGAAAAATCCACGAGGCTGCTATTTGAATGGGTCAGTCGGGTTACAGGAAATAATGTTTTCAAGGCCTTGTAAAGTTTATTTTAAAATATTAAACATCATTATTGAATATTCCCAACTCGTCCCAGGTCGTCATTTGGGCAAGCCAGACTGAAAATCAGGTCGTCAAAAATCATCCCGGGATGGAAATGACGAGGTGACGAGTGTGAATGTCGAACCCTGTCGTAGATACAAATTTGGGGGCGGAGACTCTTGCTACGCACTTGTCCATCCCCAAATTTGTATCTACGATACAGAACCAGTCTCGTTCTCTGAATAATGCTTACAAGTACTCACCATTAGAGCTACAGTCCTATCAGAGACTTCTGGTTTAGGTCAATACAATGATTTAGCCACCTGAGGAGTACAATATACACCGAACCAAAGGCTTGTACTTCAAGGGTGGCTATATTGTGGTATTGACTGAAAAACAGCAATAATTGTTTTACTATATCATTTAATGATAAAATGACACAAACTTGTTAAGCAAACTTAGATATCTTTCTTGATTAATTGCATATTGAAATGAGAAATTAGCTTAAAATAACCATAACCATTTGTATTAGTTTTAGAATTCTTAAACTATATTTGAAAGAAAAAAAGATCAGACACATAACATCAAAGTAGGAAAAATTAACAATTAACTTAAAAAAATCTTTAACAAAAAAAAGAACAGAATTCTCCAAACTTCAAAATCTTGTTTAGGGAGGTGGGGGTGTGGGGCTAGGTCCATTAACATAGGAGAGATTAGGTTATACTGGATTAAAAAGATGAGGGTACTAGTCTTAAAATGAACATTGTCATTCTTAATTAATAGAAAATTAATTAAGACAGAAAAAAGTAAGTGGCCCGGGGGTGGGGGGGGGGGGGGATATGGCAAGTGAACAAGTGAAATAATTTTTCATAACTAATTGTAACAGTTTAGAAGTTCTCTATATTTATTTTATAAACTATGTTGTTATATCATTAAAAAGTTTAAAACTGATAATTTTAATACATGTATTACAAATAGATGAGTTCCCATGCATGTTTAGAATAATCTTACATTTGCATGAAGATGCTCTAATTTTGTCACTTTTGCTTCAGCCTCGAGCTCAACTCCAAAATGGAAGAAGCCAACTTGATCAAAGGCCCAGTATATAAATACCGTACGTGTGTACACATCACCTTGATCACAGACACAGTCTAAGGATTCTACACGTGTGTACATGTAAATATTTACATTTCCAATGTCTTTGTCTGAGATAAAATTACAAATTGTAAAAATACTTTATTTCTACATAAATCTACTGGTTCATCGATAGGCGCAGTTAAAAAAAATCACGTGCGGGGCGGGACAAATAGAGACAGAATCGGGGCTATTCGCACGGGAATTTGCAGAATCAGGAGCATGTAAATATAAGGAATAACTGTCAGATTTTTTGGATTCATGACGATGATCAATCGATTGGCTTGCGTGATAATTTTATGCATAAACGCCTTCGGCGTTTATGTAAATTATCACGCAAGCCACTCGATTGATCACATCATGAATCCAAAAAATTAGACAGTTATTCCTTAAATATATTATGGTTTGTATACATTTTGATGACATGCATCTAGATAATAGAGTCATAATGTACAGAGATGTGTGAAATATTAATAAAGACACCAGATATAAAGTGTACAGAGACACTAACTTATATAGTTATATTTATGTGTTATTCATAGTTATTTATCTAAAACATTATCAGTGTAAATTATTATATAATTGTAAAGAGAGTGTACAGATACACTAGTTAATATAGTTATATTCATGTGTTACATCATAGTTATTTATCTAAGACATTGTAAGTGTAAAGACAGACTTGTTATTGATGTCAATAATTATAACACAGTGTTGTAATTTACAGAGAGATCTCCCTGACTGAGGAAATCTACACGGGACTCTGTTATAAAACCACAGGATAAAGATGAAATAAATGTCTGCTGTCAATGATGTATAGATTAGTGTTACAGAAATCTCTCACAGTGACAGGTGTTAGGTGTGGTAGTCACATTTCCCGTGTATCCTCAGACCGGGTCTGGATCTGTGATATAGACAATCTCATCTTGACAAACACAGCAGGTGATAAACTACATCATCTGACAGATATATATAGTAATACTGGAGTACACACAGTGACTAGAGACGGTGATTTAATTTATATAGACAGTCACGGTAACATCAACAAACTGTCTACAGATCACAGAGTAAAGACTACATTAATACAGTACAACACAGCACCATGGAGACCACAGTGTGTCTACAGCTCCCCCTCCACTGGAGACCTGCTGGTCGGGATACGTAATACTGATACAAAGACAGGCAAGGTAAACCGTTACAATAACACAGGACAACACATACAGACCATACAGCACGACAACAACACAGGTCAGGGACTGTATAGTAGACCTATCTACATCACAGAGAACCACAATGGAGATGTTATTGTGTCTGACAGGTACCGTAATGCTGTAGTGGTGACAGATCGTGTAGGTAGATGTCGCTTCTCCTACACAGGACCTCCATCAGGATCACGACTATATCCACAAGGAATCTGTACTGACGCGCTGTCACACATCCTGGTGTGTGATTATAACACCTACACAGTACACATGATTGACAAGGACGGGCAATTCCTGTCACAGATAGAGACACGACAACACGGGATAGACACACCATGGGGCCTGAGTTATGATGATAGAACTCACTTACTCTGGATTGGATCATACATAGACAACACAGTAAACATCTATAGACTTAATTATGGAGACTCTCTGACCGGTAAGTCATACTGTTGTGTTTATGTCTTCTGTTTTACAATCCCTAATGTAGATTTTCCGTAAGATCCATGGAATTCCATAACAAATTCCGTGGAATTCCATGGAAAAAGTATTCCATGGAATTCCAAGGAATTCTCGAGAGTATTGGGACGGAACTTTTTCGGAATGGTATGGAATTTCAAATCTAGCCTGGAAAAGAGCGGAACAATGCCAGAATAGAAATTTGCGGAAATAGCTGGAAATCCATGGAATTCCAGGATATTTGGAAATCTATGGAATTCCAGGAAAATACAAAAAACTGGAATAATCAAAATAATTTAAGGGCCAAATAATTACAACAAAAATGATAACATCACAATTTTTCATAAATCAAATCTATATTTTCAAAATAAAAAAATTATTTTTGCTGTACAATGTGTTTGGGGACAAATGTTGCATACACACTTCTATGTATAATGTAAGCACAAATTTTAAAAAGTATTATCACTGAAAGTATTTTACATCAAAGGTTACTTAAACAATGTTAAAAATCCACAGAAAAATATCATTACTGGATGATCACCTTGGTTTAATTAATGAGAATTATTATAATATACATGCATGTACATGTAGTAAATTACAGTCTGCATGAGAAACAAATGACTTTTGGTTAAAGAAAATCCTTTGTACCTAATCTCAAACATATGACATTTTTTTGATAATAAAACAAAATAGATTTAAAAAAAACCCCATTAATTATGACCTTTTGCTTCATTAAATGACCTTGGAAAAGGTCACTAAAGCCTTAACAGGGTATATTTGCAACATTTGTATACAGTTACAATGATCTTCCAGTGGTCCATATACATTTACCATACAAAGTTAATGACTAGAGTGACAAACATAGGTATTAAGTACACAAATATCTACTACACAACTATATTTGGAAGATCCCATAAAATCAACACATGCTATTTTTTCCCCCAACATGCCCCAAGATCCTACTTCTGAAGTGTTGGCTAGAATCACTTCCTCACTGGTTCTGCTAGAGGGTGGTCAGATAATTGGTGTCACGAATGGATTCACTTTTGGTACGACGGCTTCAAAAGCTCAACAAGTTTGATGTTGATCATTCCCACACTTCAAACTTTTCTTGCTCAATTTCTGAAAGAAAAGATTACCATAAAGATGTATGATATCTACAAATTGTTGATATCCAATGGAAGGCCTTCTCACAAGGAAACACCTAATGAAGTATGAAAGCCAAACCTGAATCCCCTTCACTCAAGGATGTTTTGTGACAAGTTTGGTTGATCCTATGGTTCTGAGAAGTCAAAAATGTAACACCAGACACTGATCAGAAAACTCACTTGAGCCTTGAGCTCAGGTGAGCTAAAAAGAAAAGGTTAGAACTAAAGTGTATAAATAAAGAGACATGATTGTGTCTAAGTTAATTAACCTTGAATATGAGAGAGAACATTGTAAATTACATAAACTATGTACCTTTAAAAACATTCAGCAAATAAAGTTAAGGTATGAAAAAAAGTACATGCACATTAGTAAATATAATTTATATACCATATAAAACATTCAGTTTTGCCTTGTCAATGGGTCGTCTTTTGTCTCTTAAGCTTCTGATTAAAAGCACCCTGAACAGGAGTTTGGACGCCTATGCTGCCTTTGATGTATTATCCTCCATATTTGCAAAATCTGTTAACTGACCCTTGAAAAGAGGAAAAGACGAATTTATATGCATATGTAGTTGCTTTAAATGCATATTGGCATATTTACAATGTAACAAAAATATGGACAAAGCAAATAACATAAAGTGAATATATAGAATACATTTGTTCTACTGGCTTCAAACATGCAAATACATGTACATATTTTTTTTTGAAAAATTAAGGAAATATTAAATAAACTGTTATAAATACATGTAACTTCCATGCATCAACAATTCAGTATTGAAATTAAAAAAATATTTGAAAGAGTGATGTCTAATGTTTATAATAACTGGCTAACATTGATAAACACATAATTTCAATTCTTTTGATTTTATTGATTAGGAAAATGATTAAAAAATCTGACCTTTGTGTAAATTTCCATACAGCTCTGAGCTCTTGTCCTTTTTGTGAGCATTCCTGTAAATAATGCATGCATAATTTTATGTCATAGAGTATAGTCATTTTTAATATTTCAGGGATAGACATTTAACTTTCAGATTCACTTGTCCTTTGGGCAAGTGATCCCAAACTTTGACTTGTCCAAATGCAAAACTTGGTTGCCCACAATTAGGAAAGAATTTAAGAAGAAAATTATTAATTACTGTAAACGTTATGATAAGAAAAAAAAGAGGCTGCCAACATTGAGCATGGAAGAGAATTCCATAATATCACTGCATGGGGGGGGGGGGGGGGAGCTTTATTTAAATTATCTGTGCAAGCACTAAAGGTCTGAAAGTAAGGAAGTCTTGAAATGCCTTTGTTGGTGGTAGTCTGTGAAACTAAATAGAGGCTTGGGTCTACCGCAACTAAGCTGTGCACAACTTTATATCATATAGAGCATTATTAGTCTACCACGTTTCTTCTGCCTTGTAAACATGGTAAAAATAGCCAATTTAGATGTTGCATCATGTTGGAGACACTAATAGTGTTATGATGTGTGTGTACGATGTAACATGGACTGTCGTGGCGCAATTGGCAACGTGCCACTCGCATATATAGCGAGGTTTAAGGCATGTACGAACGGGAGGAAATTCGGGTTGAAATCCACATATTGTTCAAACATATTTTGATAAGCGATGTTTAGAGTTGTACTGACTTGTACAATAATTATAATACAGAAATGAAACTGCGCTCGCCCTAATGGTTTCACCGTCGGGCATTCTATGTGTGTGATGCCCAGACTGAGGAACAGTAGCAGAAGCAATTATCCATTCAACTTCAAGGACACATAAAATACTGGACATTGTACCTACCAGGTCTTAAAATGTCTGCATCTTTTGTCAAAATACAAATTCCATTCCAAGCTAATGATGACAGCAGTTCCCTTCTTCGTGGCACTCTCTTTCCTTCTGTCCAACAGTACAACATGGCAGCTGAATTGTTGAATTTTGGCGGGCTGTTGTTTAAATTAATTGTTCATCGATCCCGACATCGATCCCGACGTAATTGTACTATGAGCCGACAGTTTAAGAAAAAATTCTAAGTTATTTTCCACAGCTTTCCAGAGCAGAAAATGTCTAAGTTTCTCATTTTATCAGCTTTTCCATAGATTTCCACAACTTTCCAAGCCTCAAAATGTCTAAGTCCAAATTTGTTATTCAAATTCCAAAAGATTCCAAAAACTTCCAAAAACACTTTTAGACTCTTGTATGGAAATGTTTGGAATTCCATGGAATTCCAAAACTTTTCCAAACCCTTTGGAAAATCTACATTAGGGCTACCAAGTGTAAACAATATTATAAATATAATTAGATAATTATTAATGAAGTCATAAATAGTGATCTTATATGGACATTTTTTACACTTAGATAATTATTAAAAAAGTCATTAATATGAAATAAATATGGACATTGTTTTAAGTATAATTAAAAGTCAATAATTATAGTCATTATTTTAAATGTAATTACAAGTACTAGTTGTTAATGAATAACTGTAATCACTGTTATAAGTATAACTACATTACATGTTAATTACATTGATTAGGATTTGTTGAATTAAGTAACAAGATTAACTTTAACAGATACAGATCTATATAAATAAATCTATAATTACTGGATTAAATCTAACAGATACAGATCTATATAAATAAATCTATAATTACTGGTCTGATAATATTGAGACTAGAGAGATGGTGACTAGGAATTGTTTACAGGTTTGATGTTTTTCTTGGTTTAGAATCATTTAGTGTATAACTTTGTTGTCTTATACAAACTGTTTATTACTACAGATCAAACTTTACACAGATTCTGTACATCATGTACAACTGGATCTACTCTGTCTGGATATAATCATACCTATATATATAGGTATATAATCGTGTTAGTGTACTATAACTTTGTTGTCTTATACAAACTATTTATTACTACAGACCAAACTTTACACAGATTCTGTACATCATGTACAACTGGATCTACTCTGTCTGGATATAATCATACCTATATATATAGGTATATAATCGTGTTAGTGTACTATAACTTTGTTGTCTTATACAAACTATTTATTACTACAGATCAAACTTTACACAGATTCTGTACATCATGTACAACTGGATCTACTCTGTCTGGATATAATCATACCTATATATATAGGTATATAATCGTATTAGTGTACTATAACTTTGTTGTCTTATACAAACTATTTATTACTACAGACCAAACTTTACACAGATTCTGTACATCATGTACAACTGGATCTACTCTGACTGGATATAATCATACCTATATATATAGGTATATAATCGTATTAGTGTACTATAACTTTGTTGTCTTATACAAACTATTTATTACTACAGACCAAACTTTACACAGATTCTGTACATCATGTACAACTGGATCTACTCTGTCTGGATATAATCATACCTATATATATAGGTATATAATCGTGTTAGTGTACTATAACTTTGTTGTCTTATACAAACTATTTATTACTACAGATCAAACTTTACACAGATTCTGTACATCATGTACAACTGGATCTACTCTGTCTGGATATAATCATACCTATATATATAGGTATATAATCGTATTAGTGTACTATAACTTTGTTGTCTTATACAAACTATTTATTACTACAGACCAAACTTTACACAGATTCTGTACATCATGTACAACTGGATCTACTCTGTCTGGATATAATCATACCTATATATATAGGTATATAATCGTGTTAGTGTACTATAACTTTGTTGTCTTATACAAACTATTTATTAGTACAGATCAAACTTTACACAGATTCTGTACATCATGTACAACTGGATCTACTCTGTCTGGATATAATCATACCTATATATATAGGTATATAATCGTGTTAGTGTACTATAACTTTGTTGTCTTATACAAACTATTCATTACTACAGACCAAACTTTACACAGATTCTGTACATCATGTACAACTGGATCTACTCTGTCTGGATATAATCATATATTGAATATTATGACCTTTTGGGTTTTTGTCCTATATTTGGTTTGAATTCATCATCACAGGTTAAATTTATAGTTCACAACAGATATGAGGAAATGATTATGGTGTAGTGGTGGTACATGTAGTTGGGGGGGGGGGGGGGGTCGCGTTAGCAATGAGAACTAAGGGACATTACTGTAGTGTTAAGCAGGACTAAATCTGGTATAACTCAGTCTCTATGAGAAATTAATTCACTGTCTTCAGTATTCTACAGATCAGTGACATTTTGTACATGTTGACAGATATAGACACCATTGATATTAACACAGCTCTGTCTAGGAATGTTGTGTATTTCTGTAGCAGGTGTTCAGTAAATCTACATGCTTTACTGACTCCAGGAAGTGAACTCAAGTCATCTTCATACAATGCTTATGTATTTGAATCAATAAAAGTTTGTAGTCTGTCTCAGGAAAAAAACATGATGTGAGATTTGATGTGGATGATAAAAAATAAAGAAAAATGATAATGTTCCGGACTAGTGATCCTTAATAAATTTCAACATGTAGAAAAGAGGGAAGATTTTCCAAACATTTGATGATTTGTATATATGTTTTGAATAATTAAAGGTTGCACCACTAGAAAAACATACTTTTACTTGGTTTAGTATATACATTTAAGAACGCTGCAAATTCCAGGGAGGGGGGGGGGCAGACACCTCCCCCCCTACCCCCCTCTAGATCTGCGCATGCTTTTTTATTGATGTTTGTCTGTCTGTCTGTCTCTGTGTATTTGTTTTAATTTTTCACAGAAAATAAACCAAGTTTATGCTGTGGCATATATTCCTTGTAATTACATACCTATGATAGAGGTATATACATACATGTATATATATATATATGTGAATGGGGTGAGACAGAGAAAATTTATTTCTCTCTCTTTCTTTCTCTCTCTCTCTCTCTCTCTCTCTCTCTGATATAATAGATTCTATATGCCCCTCCAAATACTTAAGATAAATTTTTATTACAGTCAGGTTTGGGGGATATGTAAATTGTGCACTAAATCAATATTATGGTGAGTTTCCACTAAATTTTCAGTCATAAATGTTCTTGATTTCATCAAATGATAGCTTACTGTGTAAAGCACAAGTCTTTAGGGGTTTTTAAAAATTGACAATAATTTACATGATTACATATGAATTTTATTAATTTTTTTGCCAATGTGTTTAATTTTCAAACTTAAGATACATTTTAACATAAAAATCAGTGATTCCTCTCTCAAAGAAAGATAAATGTTGGCATCTCTTCAAAATCTCAGAAGAACCACTGCCGATCCCTCACTCCCCCTCCCACCCCAACCCCAAAAAGGAGAAATAATAAAATTATGAATGTTTCCCAATATTTTGACATTCATGCCCTGTTACATTGATCATTCTTTTATCTATTAATTAATTTTTGATTAGGACCCAGCTCTACAGTTTTTAATTATACTACATAGTGTAGAATCAAATCAATCCCTGGGGATAGGGTGGGGCCACAATAATTATATGATTAAAGTTTTACATGGGAATTTATAAATAAAAATCTGCTAATGAAAAAAAGCAGGGTTAATGGTGAGCATTGGGTGTGTGTTGTGGACCTCAGGCATCTTGTTTCTGAACTGTTTATTATGCCACCCTTTGAAGAAGGGAGGGCATATTGCTTTGCTGCTGTCTGTGGGTCGGTCCACCAACAGTTTCCATTCATTTTCTTTGCAGAGGTTGTACATACTGAAATGAAATTTAGTATACAGATTTATCATAAGAATATCTAGGTCAAGTTCTGTCTTGGGTATGATCGAGCAATTTTTGACAGAGTTATGTCCTTTGGACCTAGAAAAATTCCAATTATTTGGGGGGGGGGGGGGGGGGTGCATAAGTGTTTCAAAAACATTTCTTTTTTTTCATCGAATTTTCCAGATCTGGATGATAGGTATCTTTTACTGTGCAAACAGTCCTGTGTAGTGTATATTCAAGCTTGTAAACCTCATCCCATTTACCTCTGAATCTCATTTGAACTTTTGAGACTATTTCAATTGGTATATCTATGTTTTGTTCTTATTTAATGTTTAAGGAGGATATAATATTTCAAAGATTTCTTTCTGAATGTATAAAAATTTTAGCAGATCTCATGATGGAGAACCTGCAATTTGAAGTTTAAGAATGATTAACTGCTGAACTAATCTCACTCTGTGTGTACATTTAATGGTTCTTATATAATTTCAGCGCTCTCTCTGGAGAAGATGAAGTGTGTGAAGCATCCCAGAGGTACATTGTCCCAGTTCTGTATCCCGTGTGAGACTGCCTTGTGTGAGATGTGCTTCAGGACCTCTAGTGATCATATAAAACATGATGTTAAAGATGTTGAGAAATTGTTTCGTGAAATTCACAAGAGAAAAGGTTTGTAACAACACAGAATGTGACTTTGAAGAAAATCTTTGACAAACAAAAATTGTTTTATCCATTGTTAGATCACCTGAGTCACTCAGGTGACCTATTGCTATCTGTTTTTTCTGTCATCATTCGTAAACTTTTGAACATTTTCAGCTTCTTCTCTGGAACCACTGAACCAATTTCAACCAATTTTGGTATATATAGCATTTATGGGTGAAGGGGAACAGAAATTATGAAATTCATGGTCCTTGCCCCCCTGGGGCCTGAGGGGTGGGGCTAAAACCATCAAAATTAATGCAATCTTTAAAAATCTTCTTCTTTACTCATGAACATCAAGAAGTCAAACTATTGGCATGAATGTAATAAGCATTGAGCTCTCTACCAAAATTTTGAAATTTATGGCCCCAGGGTCAGGGGTTCTGGTGCTAGGGTGGGGCTATATAGATTATATAGTAAAAGTGCATTATTAGTCCCCTACCAGTGAAACCGGAGGAGACTATAGGTTTCCTCTGAGTCTGTCCGTCCATCTGTCTGTCCGTCTGTCTGTCTGTCTAGCTGTCCCTCTGTCTGTCTGTCAGTCTGTCCCACTTGGTTTTCCGCACTTTTTTCTTAAACGCTTGCAGATATTGAGCTGATTTTTGGTATGTGAGTGTATCTTGATGAGTTACAGATCAAGTTTGCATTTCGTTCCGCTTCATTGATTTTTGACAGAATTACAGCCTTTTCAATTTTTAAGGGTTTTCCGCAATTTTCTTCTAAACGCTTGTAGATATTGATTTTTTTTTTGTATGTGGCTTTACCTTGATAAGTTATAGATTAAGTTTGCATTTCGTCCCGCTTCATTAATTTTTGACGGAATTATGGCATTTTCAATTCTTAACGGGAACCAGATTACACTTGCCGGTAGGGGACTAGTATTGCTAATGCAATACTCTCAGAATGCTTGTTGCTTTGAAAATCTTCTTCTCTGCTCCTAGGTATTAAATAAACTAACTAAGTACATAGTTATGTTAAATAAGGCTGCCTCTTCCAAAATTGTGAATTTCATGGCCCCTGGGTCAGGGGTTCTGGTGTTAGGGCGGGGCTGTATTGATTATATACTATTAGTGAAAATGCATTATATCTATAAAAATCTTCATCTCTGCTCATGGGTATCAAATAAACTAACTTAGTACATATTTATGATGAGCAAGAGTGCCTCTTCCAAAATTGTGAATTTTATGGCTCCTGGGTCAGGGGTTCCAGGGATTTATCAGCATATTTTGGGAAATGCCATTTTTGGGGAATTGGGAAAAAAATATTGGCTTTTTGATGAAATTGGGAAAAATTAAAAATGTTGCTTAAATCATGTATTCAGGTGTAATTCATTTAATATTTCAGCATGAACTCTAATTTGGGCAACCAACCAGACAATTATATATGATCAAACTTCATACAAGATCAATTATAAATAAAAGACTAATAAAAGTAAAATTGACTTCAATGAGTATAAAGTGTTTATACAACTTAGAGTAGTACATGTGTGTATGAGACTTACGGTAGTACATGTGTGTATGAGATTCCAATTTAGGTCATTACAGAATCTGTTTCTGGAAAATATAAACCTTTTGCAAGTATATATTTTCTCAAAGTCCTCTTTTAATGTGTATTAATGCATTGAAAATATATTTTTCTATTTGAAATAATGCCTACAGTCCCTACCATTCACTCGTAGATCAATTGAGTATGTTTAAGTAACTTCCGGAATCTATATAATGACACAATATCACCATTTTCAGAAAAACGGAGGAAATTCGGATTAAAAGTTGGCGATGTTTTTGCAGTGTTTTTAAACATGTATTATGACTGTAGCTTTGCTAAATGACTGAAATAGAGGAAAATTACAGACAATCTGACAATTTTCCTTGTGTTTTTCCAAGATAATTAAATATAAAAGCATTGTTCACCAATTGGGAAAAAATACTGCCAAATTGGGAAAAACTGAACTCATTTTCAATTGGGAATGGGGCCGAATTTCGGCCCCTGAGAAGGTACTGATAAATCCCTGGGTTCTGGTGTTAGGGCGGGGCTGTATGATTATATAGTGAAAATGCATTTTTTCTTTGAAAATCTTCTTCTCTGCTCCTGGGTATTATTTAAACAAAGGAACTGCATGGTTAATTATGATAAGCAAGAATGCCTCTTCCCAAATTGTGAAATTCTTGGCCCCAGGGTCATGAGGGGGGGGGGGGCTTTATTGATTATATAATGAAAATGCATCATTACTTTCAAAATATTTTTTCTTCTCCTGGTTATAAAGCAAACAAACAAGTGTATAGTTATGATGAGCAAGGCAAGGGTACTTTACAAAATTTTTAAAACTTGTAGTCCCAGGGGTTCTGGTGTTTCTCCGAGGTGGGGGGAAGGGGGGGGGGCTCTATTGATAATATAGTGAAAATGTGTGAATTCTTTGAAAATCTTCATCTTACTGCATAGTTATGATGATGAGGGTACCTCTTCCAAATCTGTAAATTTCATGACCCTGGGTCATGGGTTCTGGTGTTAGGGCTGTGTTAAATCTGTAGTGAAAATGCATTATTTCTTTGAAAATCTTCTCTGCTCCTGGGCATATTGGAGGCAAACAAAGTAAAAGTTTTAATAAGCAAGGGTATTTTTACTGGACATCTAGACCATTTAGTCAAGTGTTCTGGTCCTGGCCAGGGCTCTATTAATTTGTATTCTACTGAGCAAAGTTATTCCCCTTTGTCATTCACCTTCGATAGTTAATCACTGTAAATAATGTATTTGAAAGGTTAATAGAATAAGAGAATTATGCAAGAATATTTTTTGTATAATACAAATAGTACTTTCATAGTTTTATCGATCATGTTGACTTGGGAATAATAGATGAATAACAAGAGGCCCATGGACCCCAACGCTCACCTGAGTAACCTTGGCCTTGCTGTTTTTCACCTGATCCCCCCCTTGTAGTACTTATTGTGGGCCCGCCCTACCCCAAGGGGTCATGATTTGAACAGTTAGAATCTACACTACCCCAGGATGCTTCCACTTAAGTTTCAGCTTTTCTGGCCCAGTGGTTCTTGAGAAAATGTTTAAAGATTTTTCCTACATATTTCAATATGAAAATTGGATTCCCTTTTGTGGCCCCACCCTACTCCCAGGGGTCATGATTCCAACAATATAGAATCTACACTATCCCAGGATGCTCCCACTAAAGTTTCAGCCTTTCTGGCCCAGTGGTTCTTGATAAGAAGATTTTTAAAGATTTTTTCTACATATTTCAATGCAAAACTTGGATTCCCTATTGTGCCCCCCCCCCCCTACCCAGGGAGTCAGGATTTGAACAATTAGAATCTACACTACCACAGAATGCTTCCACATAAGTTTCAGCTTTTCTAGCCCAGTGGTTCTTGAGAAGAAGATTTTTAAAGATTTTTACTACATATTTCAATAAAAAAAACTTGAATTCCCTATTGTGGCCCCGCCCTACCCCCAGAGGTCATGATTTGAACAATTTAGAATCTACACTAACCCAGGATGCTGCCACATAAGTTTCAGTCTTTCTGGCCCAGTGGTTCTTGAGAAGAAGATTTTTAAAGATTTTGTTCTGCATATTTCAATGTAAAACTTGGATTCCCTATTGTGGCCCCGCCCTACTCCCAGAGGGTCATGATTTGAAAGATTTAGAATTTACAATACCCCAGGATGCTTCCACATAAGTTTCAGCTCTTCTAACCCAGTGGTTCTTGAGAAAAAGATTTTTTAATGACCCCACCCGATTTTTCTCCTTTCTTTATTATCTCCCCTTTGAAGGAGGCTTGGCCCTTCATTTTAGCAATTTAAACTCCCTTTTACCCAAGGATGCTTTGTACCAAGTTTGGTTAAAATTGGCCCAGTGGTTCTTGAGAAGAAGTTGAAAATGTGAAAAGTTTACAGACGGATGGACAGACGGACAGATAGACAGATGGACGATGGACAACGGGTGATCAGAAAAGCTCACTTGAGCTTTCAGCTCAGGTGAGCTAAAAATGAGACAAAAATAACTTATCTTTTTTAAAGTTCTTCAAAGGCGAAGAGAGGCCAATATGAAAGGTAATAATATGGGGTTAAAAAATAAATATTTTGGTGATAGTCTGCGTGGTAATAATGATAAATGGGGGACAGATAGAAACTAGACCAATTATTTTGTTGATCCTAATTGTACTGTTTTTCTTGTTTTGGGGCAACATAAGCTTCATTTATCAGTTTATGGATCATCTAAATTGTTGTACTCAGGTTACCATTAAGGCCCTTGGGCCTCTTGTCTTAAAGATGTATAAGATTTGGTTCTGAAGCTTACCAAATTTTAATACACCTTAAGGCTTTCTTAAAGACTTAAAGACCTCATGACCTTTAACCTTTGTCCTTTATTAATCTTTAACCTATCCAGTGCTTGTTTAATGAACTTTTGAGCTTGAATACTGTCCATTGTCTCCGTACATTTCATTTCATAAGGTCAATATTGCCCTAAATCTTTATCAATAATAACAGGCCAGGTATTTTTAGGGTTAAAAAACTATTAACATCGTAATATTTCCATTTCTAATTATTTTCTCTGTGATACTCTTTGAAAGTTAGGTGAGTTGATTTCTTGATACTGTAACGGGTCTCTCTCTCTATATATTTTCTCTCCGAGACTCACTAGGGGAATTGTCTTATCTTTCGTGGCAAGTCTTGCGTTACATGGCTCAACGGAGCTAGGAGGGCTAATGTGGCACAGTGGTTTAAAATTTAACACCCTTAATTTCTATTTCACAGCACTAAGTTATCTCATTTTAATTGAAACTGTTTTCAATTCCTCTAAGTTATCTCCCTTTAACCAATGACCTTTTAATTACTCAACTCTATCGCTCACCACTGTCTACAACTTGTACCTCCTATTATTAACCCACACTCTCTAAGTTACACTGAATTTATTAATAAACGAAATCTCTCAGCTTTTCTTCTCTATTTTTAAAACCTTTTATAATCTGGATTTTAAGGAAGTCACCAAAATTCTCTTAATACTCAGTATCTTCTGACTCAGTTCTTAATCTTTACTATCCCGCATTCCCAACTTGGTTGGAAACCTTCAACTTTAGAAAACCTTGTAAATCTCTGTATTTGAAATCAGACAAAATACAATTTTACAATTTATTGTACTGATTATCTCTCAAATACACAAGCAACAAATCTAAACTCTGTCTCTAGTGTAGTCACCTACAATTATCCGTCTTTAACCAACTTCTCCCACAATGCTTATGTTGGAAAAGTAAAACTCCAAAGTCTAAATTCCTAACTCTCAAACTTTCTCCCAGACCTCCTGGATGAAAGTAAAAACTAAAACTTTAAAATCCCTTGAACTTTATTTCCTAATCAATTTCCAACACTAGTAAAATTCCAGAAAATTCCTAAGTCTGAATTCTGTTATAAAACAGCAGCAAAATTTAGAAATACACTAGCTTCCTCAGCTAAATGTATAAGTTACCTAAATCCTATGAAAATAACTTCAAATAATTTCAATAAATTCTCAAGTTTATCACCTGTTTACTAAAAATTCATACAAACAGCAAATTTCAACAAAGTCTACTTCCTCACTAAAAAGTCACTAAAATTGACCAATACTTCCTATAAAATTCCACAAATAGGCCTATTCCAAAAGTTCCTAAAATATGCTGGAAATATCCCTGGCTCTTCTTGAAATAAAATTAAAAAGTCATTCTTTAGTCTAAATTCAAAACACCCAACCCATTGCTAACTTCTAACTCACTACCCCTAAAAAACACAGCTTCTCTAAACAAATATAAAAAGAAGAGCAAAAATTCCTTGAATCCCTCCTTTTTATGCGAAGACATGACGTAAAAGTTGGAAAATGTTGGAAACGTAGGAAAATGTTGGAGAATCTCTCGTGACATCTCCCGTAAGCGGCAAAGTCTATAGAAAAATCTAATATCTACCTACAAGACAACTATTCTGAATTAAAGTAATCACCAAATACATTCCTAAATCGAAATAAGTAAACCATTATCCATTTAATACAACAAATAACACGATTAACTCCAAAAAAACCCAAAGTATCGTAACATTTACGATCGGGCTCGACCTCCCGCAATTACGACGACAAAGTTTGTAAACAATTCCTGTCAGTTTACAACAAGACAATAACCACCGAAAATCAATTGAAAACAAGTTAAACTACAAGAAAATATGACTTCATCTATAAAGCTATAGTTCATCAACTACAGAATACCAATTAAATGTCCCTGACATATGAAGTAAGCTAAAAATACCACAATTTGCTACAGCTATGACCAGCTGATTTCTACGTAACTCAAAACATATGCACAAACTGTTTTAACACATACAAATCACTTGAACTTGTCAATAATCACCTATTCAACTGCATGCAAGGCATAAATTACACATATTCCTGCAATGTCAAGTAGATATACACATATACAAGTTCATCTCAACTTTCCTACAAATGTCAACTATAATCAGGTTCAATAACTCTGTACAAAACTAATCTGTCAAATCACTGGACTGTTATAATACTGTAGACGGACTTTTTTCTGCATATGATTAATTTACGCTATGAAAGCGGTTAAAAAATTTCCGCGGATATTTGTCACAGCGTACTTAAAGTGAAATTAGAAACGAAAATGCGTTAAATAAATGAGGCTATAAAGGTAGTACGTTATTAAACACGTAGGTATACATGTATACTTGTATATATCTTCTATGTATATCTATCCTCGATATAGGTGCAAACAACGTCAAACATGTAAAGGTGTTCCATGAATTGACAGAATAAAAACTTCATTTATTAAAGGTAGTACATCATTAAACACGTAGGTATACATGTATACTTGTATATATCTTCTATGTATATCTATCCTCGATATAGGTGCAAACAACGTAAAACATGTAAAGGCGTTCTATGAATTGACAGAATGAAAAACTTCATTCTCTAAAATAAATATTTTTTGTGGACTAAATATGCCTGCATTAAACTTGAACTCCCCTCTCCCTCAATTTGAGAAAACGGCACGTGTTACACGACAATTGTCTTCAAGCGGATCTGTGTAAATGATCCAATTATATAGACGCCAAAACCTGTGTTTTTACTACAGTTTTCAGATCCCTTTGTGTTTTGACTTGTAATTGATTGAATTGATCAACACCTGATTTAAATAGATATGAACCCAGAAATTGGCTACTAATGAAGTTTAGAATATTTAATATTCGGTTTAAAAATTACGACACGCATATTAAAATAAATCCATTCATCAAAGTTGGTTACTTCTGAAAAATCACATTTACGCGTGACAGCACAGGATCAGGCGATCTAAAAAAAATGTGTCTTTTTTTATTTGTGAAAGAATCCCTGATTTCCCCAAGCCTTAGGGTTTCTGTTTGAACGGACTGGTGTGCATCGATCAGCCACCCAACAACAACATGAATAGCTTCAGTGTTGATAATTGTAGAACGTGTTTATGAACTGCTTTTTTTCCCTTTTTTAAGATCATTTGATTTAGATCTGTGTAACACTCAGAAAAAAAATTATTCTTTATACATTTAAAAAAAAATCATCGTTTCTAGCGGGATCCGAAATACAGCTGGCGGGAACGTATACATACCGCATACACTGTACGTATGCTGTTATATAAGTCATTTGATCATTGTACTCGCAAAGTTGATCTTTGAAAACACTAATTAGCACAGAATAGATGCATTTGAGCAAAACAATGATAATTTTTCTCTCATATGTTCAATGTAGGGCACTATAATTTTTTTGAGATGTCAAGAATCCGCGTAATTTTTTATACGCAGATTAAACTGATATTGTGATTCCGCAGAATTATGACCCCGTGAAAAAAATACTTTAACAGTAATTCAACTGGAATGTTAATTTCGCCAGGTGAAAGGTTAGAAGCCTTATATGCATGTCAATCTTGTGCGGCTGTCCCATTGTCTGACGTCAGTGGGCGGGGACTATTGAAATTAACGTTGGAGAGCTCGCATATTTTAAATCTTTTATACAGCATTTTTAACTCACCTGAGCCGAAGGCTCAAGTGAGCTTTTCTGATCAAAATTTATCCATTGTCTGTCGTCATCATTGTCGTAAACTTTTCACATTTTCATCTTCTCAAGAACCACTGGACTGATTTCAACCAAACTTTGTACAGAATATACTTGGGTGAAAGGGATTCAAGTTTGTTCAAATGAAGCGCCACACCCTCTTTAAAGGGGAGATAATTAAGAATTTGTGAAAATTTAGTGGTATCTTTTAAAAATCTGCTTCTCAAGAACCATTGGGCCAGGATAAATGAAACTAATGTGGAAGCATCCTCTTGTAGTGTAGATTCAAGTTTGCTAAAATCAAGACCCTCGGGGGGTAGGGTTGGGCCACAATAGGGGATCAAAGTTTAACATAGGAATATATAGGGAAAAATCTTCAAAAATCTTCTTCTCAAGAACAGCAAAGCCATGATTAGTCATATTGATATGGAAGCATCGTCAGGGACAACAATGCACTATCAGAGTTTAACATATGGATGAATAGGAAAAAATTCTCTAAAATCTTTTTCTCAAGAACAGCTTAGCCATATTTAGTCACATTGATTTGAAAGTATCTTGAGGTTATGTAGATTCAAGTTTGTTCAAATCATGACTCTATAAAAATCATGACATTGGGGTAGCCTAAGGGTGGGGTCATAGTAGGGATAGAATATATAATAGAACTAATTTGCTGATTTAGAACAGCAGGGCCATATTGATTCAGGTGAGCGTTGTGGCCCATGGGTCTCTTGTTTAATTTTTATTTACAATTTTATTTCACATATACCCGGTAAATGAAAATATAAGGTATCGCTGTCTACTTTGTTGGGTATGCCAGGGACATCAACGATAGTTGAAAATGTTTGATAATTTAATTTAGTTATCCAACGTTTCCAACTATCGTTAATGCCATGGCATACCCAACAAACTAGACAGTGATTCCTTAAACATTAGTTAAAAAACGCACAGAACTTTGTTGAGGATCATAACCCATTCTAATAATTATTTATATTTGGTAAAGTCACAAATTGAATGTATATATATATATATATATATAAATAGATATTTCAAAATGTGGCCTTGAATTTTACTTTAAATTTGATAAATGAAAAATTTTCATCAATTTGACCTATGCTGCTCAACGTCATTTAACTTAATGATACTGAAAAAATTCATGATAATATATATATAATCTTTATGAATTTGTTTAACTTAAAATTTGTTGGGGCTAATAATAAGCATGTATTGCTTTTGATTACTTGTCACTGAAATCAGTGAAAAGGTTAACTTTGACATGTATAACTCTGTTTGTAGATGGAGATGCAGTGTTGATGTGCCTTCTTCTTTGCCAGAACTACAAAATAAGTCTTGAAGAAAAAGAGTGGATAGAGAAGTATAATGCTGTGGCTGAAGATTTCAAATTCAAGAAGATAAAGAAACAATCTGATCTTAGCAAAATCAAAAAGTACAAACCAGTACTTAAACAAGATGGTCCCGGGGTCATATTTAGTTGTGAATTCTTCAAACACACCAGTTTTCTTAGATTTGCAAAAGATCCCAAATTTATGGATTTTTTTCTGACCTGGGCAAGAAAAGATAACACAGCTGAGTACTGCAGAACATGGGCCTATCCAAAGAAAGAAGGTGAAGTCTTTTGTTGGTTACCATCACAACAAACCGAACAATTGATAGAAAAACTTGGAGAGGATATTTTCACACATCCAACATGGCAAGACACATCAATACATGAAGCTGTTTTTAGAAACCGTATGTTTATCTTTAGTTCTTTATTATATTTTACTCCCATCAAACAAAGTTTGGGTAGGGATACTTGAATCACCCTGCCTGTCTGTCTTATCCCTCCAATGCCCAAAGGCAAATCTTTGCCGCTACAGTAAAACATGGTTACAAAGCAAACCTTACAAAGAATTCAGACTTACTGCAGAGTGATTTTCATTCATTGTAGTTTCTAAAAACATTATGAACTAAGTCTTAATGAATTGAACAAATTACATTTTAAAAATCAAAGTACTGAAAGTACTGGGAAGCACTAAGCAATGTTTGCAATTTGAAATTCATTAGAATTATTTTGAATTTACATTACCTGTTGTATTGGAATAAGTAATATTTTGACAGTGCTGTCACTTGGGCGAGCACAGCTGTTTGATACATATTCACTTTAAAATAAAACATGTATCCGCATCTTCAAACCGCACGAGGATACATTTGAAGGTTGGAGACTGTGAAATCATATGACGTCGTATATACGTTGTTTTTTAACATTTTATTATCTCCCAAAAAAGTTCCTTTGGGGCATTGTGCACAATCCGAAATTACTCTTCGTCTCGCCTCGGCCTATCTTTAAGGGCCGCTAGTTTGCAGTTATGAGCAGCAATCGCTTCTAGAGATCTTTTTTTTTTGACATCTCTGCAATTATGCAGATTTATCCTTACGTTGCGGGTTCGAATCCCACTGTGGGACGTGGAGACCGGTCCTTTGGATGAGACCATATAAACCGAGGTTCCTTGTTGCAATAGGTGCTGATACAAAAAAGATCCCTCACTGTTCAAAGGCCGTAATAGCCGAGATAGATCTAAAGGACAAGGTTCATTTGATATAATATTTGGCCCTGAGAATTTCTAAAAATTAAAGTTTATGCTGAATCAAAACTTTACATTGAAAATAAAGGTTGGATATATGCTTGTTAAAAAAATAAACCCAAACTTTGAGTATGTGTCCCCTGTATACTGTTTACTCGTTGTCAAATCATGCACGGAATGCGTATTTCCGGAAAAATCGTTAAAAATCAGGGACTTAAAAGCATTTTTCGATAGGTCCGCATTATATCACCACTTTGAAATTTTTACAAATGAAACATTGATATGATAGCAATTTATATGCAAAAAATTACGATGGTGATATTGTGCGGACCATGTTTATTTTCAAAATATGTATTCATTTTACAGCATGCAATACACATACGTTAGATGGTGTTTTGCTAGATATAAATAATATTGAGAATACACCTCGCCACCATTGCTAAAAAATCTTTAATATAAAGCGTATAATCATCACATCAATATTATGAAGATCTTTACATGTTGTTTGAATTCAGATACATTGGGCCTATATTAGTATATCTATATAGCATATCTTACTTTTGCGCGCCCCTCAGTAAGCGACAGTAGTCCGAGTTAGACTATAATCTGGACATTAGTTGGTGGAAAAAGTAGTCTTTAAGAAAAAATGCAGTATTTACACTTGTATAAATGTTATTTTACATTCAGTCTATAACTCAGTGCCTGTGTCCACAAAACAATTTATACGTCATTTTTGAAAATTGACGTCACAATGGTTTCACCGATCTATTTGGCCTTTTGGGAAAATGGACTATTTACATGTACATGGACATCAATATTTTGAGCTATTGTAGTGAAAATTAGAGGCTAACTTTCTAAGATAGAAGACAACTTGGCAAAATATCACAATAGATTTAACATTTAACAATGCGCCTCTCAGTGTAAAATATGTGAAATGCAGATCAGTTCCGAACATAATCTAGATTGTCATATATGTTTTATCAATGACTTCAATTAGATCTACCTTTTTTGGAGAGTTCCATATAAAAATTACCCGTAAAGCCATGTACATCACATAAATGTATTTTGGTCACATAATTTCTCGAGATGGTCAAAAAGGGGTAATATATAGCATTTTATGTACTTAATAAAATTAAATAAAGGTTGGATGTAATGTAAAATAATAATAATTCTAAAAAAGAAGTACACAATTAGCTGGGGGAGGGGGTTATAAAATACTACATGAGTGATAATATCGGATGGGAGGGGGTCAGGTCCAATTGCTCCTCTTATATTCTTTATATTACTGTATATAGATTGACAGACCTATGGAAATTGTATATAGCATGAAAACATAATGTAAATGTAACGAATGGAAGAGGATAAAAAATGTTTTCTTTTGATTGTCAAGAATCAAGTAGTTTGCTTGTACTCCTTCTGTATTAATATCCAAAAAAGTATTGCCTATTTGCACGCACACGCAAAACTGAAATTCTGACTTGTTTACTAAAACAAAATTAATATTAATCTTTACTAAGAAATGATAAGTATATATCCACAGATCTCTGTGGATAAGTGAAATATTCTCGAACTGTAATGCAGTGATCGTAGAAAATATAGCTGATTTTATTCTTGTTAATTGTTTCAACTGGATGTTAAAATTGAAATAAAATATAAATAGGGTGTCATAGAACATAGAAAATGATTAATAAATGCACATACGATGTATAAGCATCGGATTTATTGTGAAATGGATTCTTCGGTGCTGGATTTTGTAGAAAATGTCTTTTTCACAGGTTATTGAAATATTGACTTCCTGGATATCAATGTCAACAATCTAGTACGTATTCAAAGGCGGGTCCAGTACCGGCGCCCCCCCCCCCTCCCCCGTTTGTTATTTTTTTTTATGCTTGTGTGCATTTTCTTTGTTTAACCTGTTTATACTCTCAATTTATCCATAAGTAATGTTCAGGCACGTAGTTTCAGAGCTGACTCCAATTCGAAAAATGTTTCATGTCGAAAAGAAAAAATGTGAACCTGCCCCCTACATGTACATGGGTAAATGGTAAAGATTTACTTGAAATTTCATTACCACGATGAACATAATGATACTTTTTCCACGTCAACCCCCACCCTTTTTTGTCATCTTGAAAATATACAATTGATTATCAATAATTATTTACTAAGTAATTACTAATTACTTATGCTTTAATTTCTACGCCTACTATACAAGATACAAGATATTTTATTTACCAATCAAGGGCCCCCGAGAGGCATTTCCACATATATAAATGCACAATTTAAACATTATTCACAATGTATGTGATAAAGGAACTATAAATATTTCATGTAATCAAAGTTCTCATTGAATAGATCTCCCCTCTCCCCATAGAACATGTAAAAAGTATCAACTGTACTGCCTGCTTCCTTTCCCCCGAATTACAAAATAAAATTAATATTGCTCTCTGTTTGTTATGAACAAAGGGCCATCTACTTTCAAGAGTTCAGGTTCACAATATTAAATTGAAGTATTCTTAACATTATATTACAGACTGTAGTATACAGTTAAAGTATATCATTGAGGGATTTAACAAGATTCCAGTTCCCCAAGGCCAGGACTGGTTGAGATGATATACTTTTAGTCCTGGTCGAGATGATATACTTTTAACTGTTTTATTATACCGATACAAACGTAAAATGAGGATTCAGATAGCCTTATTTCAAAGCAGGGATTAGCTCACTGAACTAACACACGGACATTAGTCCATTCACATATCATACCAATGTAAAAGTAAAATCTAGAGGATTAGGATAACCGGGAATTAGCTTTCAAAGCAGGGATTAGCTCACTTGACTAACACACGGGGATTAGTCCACTCTTAACGATTTCTAGGGAATTAGTCAGATCGTTATATAGGGAAAAAAATCAGTAGAGGTATAATAAACCAAGATAAAGTAATTGAATACAGTATTTACATATTGATGACCAATTTAAGTAAACAACAGTGATTTCTGTTCACTAACACTCGATTGTCTTTGAACAATTCTCCTGGGGAAATAAGGCAGGCACTTTATCCTGGAAATGAACTAGATTAGCTCATAATGTACACCTTTATATGATAAAATGTTCTCAAAGTCTGAAAGTGTTTTTCCTTCGTGTTTAGAGCTTCCTTATAACACACACTTGCACAGGTCGTCATCACAAAGATACATGTATATCGATTACTTAGAGGAAGCAGTAAGGGATCTGCGGGGGGGGGGGGGGTATCCGGACCCCACCCCAATTAATACCCACCACTTGTATAAAATTCATATAGTAAAATACCAAAAATATGAAGGGGGAAGGGTCAAGTAAACTTTGTAAAGTTGGTAAGACATGTAGGAAGGTAATGTGACATCCCCCCTTTCAAAATAGGTTTTTTCAGGTTTGGGTTATTTTTCTTCTTTTTAAATAAGGTTTTGTCCTTTGGGTCGATCTAGTTGTTTTTTTTTTTCATTATTTTTTTTATGTGGTGGTGGTATGGAACAACTTTTTCTGGGAAAAATTACAGGAAATTCCTCAATTGCGTTGTTAAATTTTTCCGCAAGTCCACATTGCTTTTCCGCGAAAAATCCTTCTTTACCGTGAAGTACTAGTGTTTTTTTTTCTTTTCCACGAAAATCCTCTATTAACCAGGTAGTATATATTTTGCTCCTTGTCTACCATGGGGATGAATTATTGTAAAAGTCTCTTAAACATCGTTAATAGACCAAGTAGATTGTAGGTCATATACGCAATAACCTATACATCTTCACAATGTCAAAGTTTTGTGAAATCGTTCCTATTTAAAAAGGTAGTGAAGAGAAACAATATCACAAAACCTTGACCTTGTGAAGATGTATAAGTTTATACTTATGAAACGTCATTGAAACATGTCGTCTGTTCAATAACCCGTAGATCCTAATATATTCATGTGTCGGAACAAGATGCAATTTTGAAGGGAAAAAAAGATAAATTAATAGCTGATAACTTCGATGTTGGAATATTTCCGAACTGTTGAAAGAAAAGAATAAACGAAGGTTCACATGCTTTCCTTTTTTAAAGGATGGGCTCTACCTATAATAGGTAGACACAGGTAAACTTATGTAATCAAGCCACAGAAAAGCAATGTCAAGTACGGAGCGAAAACTTTTTTTTTTTGAAAATAT